GGGAGCATAACCAAGCAAATATTTCGTCAGTCGGAAAAATGATGGGATGGATTATGAGAACTTTCAAATCCAGGGATCCCATCACAATGGTTGTACTCTTCAAGTCACTTGTGTTGTCCCGTCTTGAGTACTGCTCAGCACTCGCTTCCCCCTTCACAGTAGGAGAGATTGCTGAAATAGAGGGAATACAGAGAACATATACGGCATACATAGATGCAATAAAGCACCTATATTATTGGGATCGTCTCAAAGCTCTCTAATTGTATTCGCTAGAAAGAAAACGAGAGATAAAATAATATAAACATGGTAAATACTAGAGGGCCAGGCCCCAAATCCATTCAGTAAAATAACAACATAATGGAGTGAACGACATGGAAGAAAGTGCAGAATAGAAGAGCAGGGGTGCCATAGGCACAATCAGATAACACTATAAATGTATAAACATCAGAGGTCCGCGGTTGTTCAACATCCTCCCAGCGAGTATAAGAAATATTGCCGGAACAACCGTGGAGAACTTCAAGAGAAAAGTAGATAGTTTTCTTCAAGGAGTGCCGGACCAACCGGGCTGTGGTGGATATGTGGGCCTGCGGGCCGCTCCAAGCAACAGCCTGGTGGACCAAACTCTCACAATTCAAGCCTGGCCTCGGGCCGGGCTTGGGGAGTAGAAGAACTCCCAGAACAACATCAAGCACCAGAGATTTCATTAAATCAATAATCCTCACTCATCACTTAGTCATATTACATAACAAATCCACAGGCGAGACACCTAAATACCACTAACACTTCTCAAATAAAATCGTAGTCAATTGAAACCTTTGTTTGTGCATGGCTTACAAACACTGCTGACCACCGATTCTGATACAGTGAATGAACCCAAAAGGTAAAGGAATACGTTAGTGTATACATAAGAGCGTCGGCAACCCTCATCACTGCCACTCACACCATACAACTCCAACTGGCGCTTAAATCTCCGGCCTCCGCCAGGGAGGCAAGTCTACCTCCCTCTGTTGCCAGGCTTACACTCACTCACCTGGATGATACCTGGTTGATGGGGTTCTGGGAGTTCTTCTACTCCAAACTCTCTACTTGTGAGAGTTTGGTCCACCAGGCTGGTGCTTGGAGCGGCCCGCAGGCCCACATATACATATACCTGCTTGATGGGGTTCTGGGAGTTCTTCTACTCCCCAAGCCCGGCCCGAGGCCAGGCTTGACTTGTGAGAGTTTGGTCCACCAGGCTGTTTGCTTGGAGCGGCCCGCAGGCCCACATACCCACCACAGCCCGGTTGGTCCGGCACTTCCTTTAGAAAACAGTTTAGTTTTCTCTTGAAGATGTCCACGGTTGTTTAATCACTGCCAGCGTGATTAAATATTTCATTAAACCTAGGTCTCCACATTAACATTGAGTGACTGTCCATCATCTACAGTCATAAGGAACATTACTAACTCAATAACCTTGCATATAATACTTGAGGGTTAACTGAAATTAGGTTTACAAATGATTTCCGTTAAATTCCTGCATAGACCTGGCAGGGCAGCACCATCAGCTGGTGTTTGGAACACTCTTAACCAGCTTTACCTTAACGATGGTTCGGCCTAGGTTTAAGAAAAGCGTAACCCTCACAAACAATTGGTTATTAACATTTTTAAATTAGGATAATTATATTTACACATCATTTGCCCAAATTGAAACTTACACGTCAGTTAACAGAACTACCAGATAGGGATTGCATTTCATTAACCATTGATTGATTGATGAAGATTAAGCCACCCAAAATGTGGCACGGGCATGAATAGCCCGTAAGTGGTGGTCCTTTTGAGCCATTACCAGTATCAATAGCTGATACTGGAGATCTGTGGAGATGCAACTGCACCCTGCGTGACGGGAGATGTCTCCCGTATTCATTAACCAGTTGTTCAGCACTTTACCTTAATTAAATTTGTATAAGCCGAAAAAGAAATTTGCATACGCTATTACAAAGGAATTACTGACATGCAGTATGCAACTTAGCATGACTAAGGAACTAAAACATATAATTTACACATGCAAATTTAGCAGGAATAATAGCATACTCGTCAATTTGCATACACTTACTTTTACTTAGTTATTCCTGCATTTGCATTCTCAAGATGCTCAACGTGCTGCTGCAATTACTCTATATTTCTCTAATAGGCAAATATCACTTCTGTAAATGAAGCTCTGTAATTTCAAGTGACTAGAACAGCCTAGTTCCTAACAGCGCCCAGGTCTCGCCTGGGAAACTGCCAGTGTTCCATCGTACTTATGATAAGGTTTTCACTAGTCTCTTCATTTAGTTAATTTATAATATTTTGTTGATTAATTAGTTCACTAAAGTTCATAGTTCTGTGTTATTATTATAGAGATTAATGTAAGAATTCATATCCGACGTGAAGTTAGTAATGTATTAACAAAATTGTATACTTTATCATCATCAATGTATTGAATGTGTCGGCTCAAAGTACACACTACAGTACAAGCCACTATAAATATCCAAAAGGTTGCATTTAGATTTGTTCATACTGTAATTTATACTGTATCATTTCCCTTAATATCTTCTCTCGTATCTTAACTGTTGTTTAGAAGTGTTGTATGATGACAAGGAGAGGGGAAGGCCTTGCCCAGAGTCTGTAGGTTGTGTAGGAATTACGAATTATGTCTTACCTTTCACTGTTCTCGATGTTTACTAATAGTGTTTTTCCTTTCTCCCTTTTACCGTACCCTCTTCCAACCCTCTGATTCCCTATTGCACCTTTTGAAATACGCACTTTATTTCGTCTCCCCTCTGTACCGTCTCCCCATCTCCCGTCACCCCCCATCTCCCGTCACCCCCCATCTCCCGTCACCCCCCCCTCCCCCTTGCACCTCCCCCTCCTGACTTGCACCATCCAGCGAAGGGTAAGAGCAGACTTTATCAAAATATGCAACAGTCGCAGCTTGTTGCCACGTCCATTCACAGCATTGGGTATAAACAAGCATGAACGGTTTATATATGCTGTATGACCACATTGTTTAAGGCGTAGTGCAGGCGCCGCACCGCACACCACCACCGCCCACCATGACTCATTCCTTAGAAAATAACAAAGTTGGCGTCAGGGTCTCTTTATGGAGGTGTTCTGGTCAAAATATAAGCCCTTGTCACTCACTTGTCACTCACTCGTCCCATTCCACTGGCAGCTCCCGTCCCTTCACATGAATCTGACTTATTGAAAGTTATTTTTTTATCTAATTAAATAAGCCGCAGGGGAACAAAAATATATAGATATGAAAATGTCATATAACAGTTTAACAAATCTTAAATATTCACTTAATATATTGAATTTATTTGATGAACACGTCCAGGTTGTTTCTTAAGAGTTTGAGTGGTATATAAGGAAGGGAAATTTGCAGTAAAGTGAGACACGAGGCTAAAGTAGGTGGGTCCTGGTGGTCCTGGTGGGCCCAGTGGTCCCGGTGGTCCCGGTGGTCCTGGTGGGCCCAGTGGCCCTGGTGGCGCCGGTGGTCCTGGTGGCGCCAAAGATGCTCATACATAGAGCGTGGTGACTAAGCAGCCGCGATTGTCTGCCTTGGTTCCGCTTCTCCTGTGCATAGTCATAATATATAGTGATAATGGCTTAGTGCTTTCTCCTGATAATTGCCTTTCCTGCAATCTTGGGTTGCATGCACTCGCTCCACGGGGATGAGGTCAGGGCAAGAAGGGCCTGTGCTGCTGACTAGACCTGTATGTTATGGCTAATGTTTGTGGCGCCATGAGTGTGTGGTCCGTGGTAAACATTGTTTGATAAGTAAGTAATTTAAGTGTTAAACATGAGACTAACACAATAAAAACTCATATTTTATAGTTCGGACGCGTTATCAATGGCTTCTGTTAAACGGATAAATACTTCCTAGTAACAATCGTTAATTCAAATGAGGGGGTGGAGGGGGGACGGTTGTTCGATATAGTCAGTAGGTACTGTGGAGGATGGAGTGACCTTGTGTTGCGTGGGTAGTGGCACTATTGTCCTCTTCATGGTTGGGTGTGCGTGTGTGTCCTTGGCGCGACGGGCGTTTATTGTATATAGAGGAGTGAGGAGGGAGTGGCCGCCAGACTGAGAGAACTAGCGCGGGCGGGCCCCGGACACCAGCTCCAGGCAGGCAGCTCATGGCGCTACACCGGAAGCCCCGTCACGTGTAAACACCAGAGTATGGGTTGTGTACTGAGCATGGAGAGAAGCTGACAACTTGATGACAAGTGCGGGTAGTGATGACTGCATGTACCCTCTATCTCCTACATGGTACAATCATAATAATGTTTACTGCTCTCCGATTGTAGAGGAAACTATGAGAACATCTCTTTTTTTTTCTGTCACAGGCATAATAATTCACAATGAAGGGAAGGACTAGTGAATGTTAAATTTGACCACTGTTGCATGAAGGATGACTGGCATGTAGGTTAAGTGCTGCCGTATATAGTAATGGCTGTAATACTGATGCACAGTTGCTTTGATGTGAATGATATATGTATAGAGTGTTGTATATCCTGGTGCTTGTGTTCTCTGTATTGCTGTCGCGTATTTCCTGGTGGTTCCCTGCTTTTACGGTAGCTAAATGCACCTTCACTATCATACGTTATTCTCTTGAAATTTATATTTTAGTAGTTCAATTTTAATTTCTAACGTTTAACAAAAACCTCCCCCACAGAAACCTCCCCCACAGAAAAAAAAATGATAAATTTATTGAAAGATCTTAGTAGGTAATGACGTCATAATAATCTTTCTCCGTAATAGATAATCAGTTAAATGTCTACACCAAAAAAGAATAAGTTTGTTTAAAGTCTCAGTGTATTTTTATTGTCTTTATTTTTTTCCATCACGTCATGTCTTATTTTTTTCGTTAATCTTGTATAGCTATCATGTTTTGATATGATTTAGATATATATATTATTTCTGATGCACCTTGTATAGTGACATGTTACTGACCTATGTTTGTGTCGCTCCTGTAGGCGGGGAAGCAGGTGCGGGACCTGTTCGAGGACCTGCGGGACGGCCACAACCTCATCTCCCTGCTGGAGGTGTTGTCGGGCGAGCACCTCCCTCGAGAGCGTGGCCGCCTTCGCTTCCACATGCTCCAGAACGTCCAGCTCACCCTCGACTTCCTGAGATACCGCAAGGTGAGTCTTCCCTTCTCAAAATATAGTAGAATTTTGTGCAATTAAATTTAGACAAACCGGAAAAAAGTTTTGTATTTATAAATAAATAAATGTTTATTTAGGTAAGGTACATACATACAAGAGATTTTACAAAGATTGATGGATTTATAGATAGAGCTAGTACATACAATGCCTAAAGCCACTATTACGCAAAGGTGCTAATAAAACTATCCTAACCATCCTAGGCCTAATACATGATATATGAAGCATAATATAATACATGTGTGTATTATACTAGGCTTAGGAATATTAATGTTTGATTTTAGCTTTATTTTTTTCCGAACTCTATAAAGTGAATAATGACAAATTCTATTCTTTGTCCACTATCTAATTGTCCATTACGTCAATATATGTACGATGGTCCACATAGCTACAAATCGTACCTAACCATCTAAAGAGGAGGATGGGTCGAAATATTTACTGTGGGGCGGGTCGTTTAATACATATAATTTCAGCAATAGAGGCAGTGATTGGGAAGACATGAACTATAAAATGCCTAACATTTCCTGGGAAACTGCAGTGAACCCGCAGACACTCACAGTGCACGCAGACATTAAATACAACAGCTTACAAAATGTACAAGAAACATGCAAAAGTTGTTGAACTTGGAAAGAAAAAATATAGAAAATATATAGAAGGTTATCTCGATGATTTCGGGGCTTTTAGTGTCCCCGCGGCCCGGTCCTCGACCAGGCCTCCACCCCCAGGAAGCAGCCCGTGACAGCTGACTAACACCCAGGTACCTATTTTACTGCTAGGTAACAGGGGCATAGGGTGAAAGAAACTCTGCCCATTGTTTCTCGCCCGGGATCGAACCCGGGACCACAGGATTACAAGTCCAGCGTGCTGTCCGCTCAGCCGACCGGCTCCCTAGACAAGGTGGTGACATAAATATTGAAGCAGCATATTGTTCCAAGAAGGAAGATCACGCCTGCTTTTAAACATCTGTAATCCCCTTTCATGTCCGCATATAGTATTGTGGCTAATTTCCACAGTAATTTGTAATGTCGTGAGGGTTTGACTACCAACCAAGGGTTTGACTCTGGAGCCGGTCGTCCGAGCGGACAGCACGCGGGACTTGTGATCCTGTGGTCCTGGGTTCGATCCCGGGCGAGAAACAATGGGCAGAGTTTCTTTCACCCTATGCCCCTGTTACCTAGCAGTAAAATAGGTACCTGGGTGTTAGTCAGCTGTCACGGGCTGCTTCCTGGGGATGGAGGCCTGGTCGAGGACCGGGCCGCGGGGACACTAAAGCCCCGAAATCATCTCAAGAAAACTCAAGAAGCTGTGTGGAGGGCAACGGTTGTGCTGGGGTAGAGAGGAACCCACTCACGGTACAGTGTTTGTGGTCACATCCACCTCGTCCCTGCCCACACCCGCCCACCTCCACCTCGTCCCTGCCCACACCCGCCCACCTCCACCTCGTCCCTGCCCACACCCGCCCACCTCCACCTCGTCCCTGCCCACACCCGCCCACCTCCACCTCGTCCCTGCCCACACCCGCCCACCTCCACCTCGTCCCTGCCCACACCCGCCCACCTCCACCGCGTCCCTGCCCACACCCGCCCACCTCGTCCCTGCCCACACCCGCCCCCCACCACCTTGTCTTACACTTGGGCTCGCCTTCAGATACTTCACAAGTCGAGTCTGGCCTCGGGAGTAAAAGAGCTCCCAGAACCCCATCACGCAGGTATATACATGCCACTAGACACCTGGCCCACACCTATTTCGAGACGTACACGTGACACTCACTCGGGCTCCACACCTTCACCTAGGAAATACAATTAACAGAATCACTTTCACCGACTAGGAATGTGCACCTGCCACTACACCTGGCTGACGCTCAGCCATAGGTGCCACTACACCTGGCTGACCCTCAGCCATAGGTGCCACTACACCTGGCTGACGCTCACCCATAGGTGCCACTTGACACCTGGCTGATGCTCGTCCTAACACACAACTGTAGATTTTTTCGTTTACATAATACTTTTCCAAAATGTTCACTATAGTTTTACACAAACGTATACGTCGAGCAGGTATACAGAGTCGGCGCACGCGCGCGTGCGCGTGCGTGTGTGAGAGTGAGAGAGAGAGAGAGAGAGAGAGAGAGAGAGAGAGAGAGAGAGAGAGAGAGAGAGAGAGAGAGAGAGAGAGAGAGAGAGAGAGAGAGAGAGTGTGTGTGAGAGTGTGTGAGAGTGTGTGAGAGTGTGTGAGAGTGTGTGAGAGTGTGTGAGAGTGTGTGAGAGTGTGTGAGAGTGTGTGAGAGTGTGTGTGAGAGTGTGTGAGAGTGTGTGTGAGAGTGTGTGAGAGTGTGTGTGTGTGTGTGTGTGTGTGAGTGTGAGTGTGAGTGTGTGTGTGTGTATGTGTGTGTGTGTGTGTGTGTGTGTGTGTGTGTGTGTGTGTGTGTGTGTGTGTGTGTGTGTGTGTGTGTGTGTGTGTGTGTGTGTGTGTGTGTGTTGTCATGTGGCGGGGGCTATTGAGTGTAACCGCTGGGGCGCGGCACCCTAGAGTTTTTTTGTTTTTTTTTTATTAAGATATGAGGTACATCTGCATTAGTGCAGCTACCCTAGACTATATGAAGTGGAGTACAGTGTGTCAAAAGAAGCTAACTAGGTGATGCTAAAAAATCCCCATCACACAAGATGGTTAGTCATACAGAGGCATGTGATAAGCGGTCTGCACTGGCAGACTCCGGATGCATTTTGAGGATATCAACACCACAAGATTGAATAAGGTAGCAGTGGTAATACAAGTCCCCATCTCGCAGGATGGTTAGTCATACAGAGCCATGTGTTTAATAGCCTGCACTGGCAAATTTTGGGTATACTGTGAGGGTGATACCTGGCGTGGCGTAACTCCACGGGGATCACACACCTCATCTCACGCTCGCTAATTACTCCCTTTACCATCTGCTAGTTGCTGGTACTCTTCACACTGATGTTTATATATTGTAGAAACTTGATACATTACAGATATCCGTATAACTTGAGTACACTTAAGAGTGCAAGTGTTGACAGGGTTGACGTAGACGGTACAGCTCAGTCTGGTCCTCTACAGTGTTGTTGCTCCTTTGGAGAACAACCGGTTGTATTTTTTTTAATTAAATTTTTTTAATTAAAAAAATAAGCATTTGTTTCAATGTTTAGGAAACATTGTTTCAGTGTTCCCAAACATTGGCTGAGGCTCAGTCAATAAGGCATTTCGGCACATCAGACAAAGTAGTATTACCTGGTTGATACCTGCTTGATGGGGTTCTGAGAGTTGTTCTACTCCCCAAGCCCGGTCCGAGGCCAGGCTCGACTTGTGAGAGTTTAGTCCACCAGGCTGTTGCTTGGAGCGGCCCACAGGCCCACATACCCACCACAGCCTGATTGGTCCGGCACGTCTTGAAGAAAGCAGTCTAGTTTTCTCTTGAAGATGTCCACAGTTGTTCCGGCAATATTTCTTATAGTCGCTGGGAGGACGTTGAACAACCGCGGACCTCTGATGTTTATACAGTGTTCTCTGATTGTGCCTATGGCACTCGTATTATAGTTTAGATCAAGCTGACCAATATAATTACCAGACAGGAAATTGACTGATGTTGTTATTAAACAAAGCTTTAGTAATAAAATCAGGTGGCATGTAGTTACCATTGACCAAGGTAGTCACACTGGGTGATGGTTGTTGGGTATCTGGGGATTTGATTCAAATATGGAATTATTTAATTAAGAGAATTAATATACTCGAAGGACCACCCACTTTTGAGAAAAGAGGGAAAACAAGTAAAGGGATTGTTTAGGGATTGTTCAATCCATTTACAAGTAAAGGGATTGATAGGCGACTGACACTATAGAACCAGTGCCTATGTATGTGAAATTATTAAACAATCACTTAGAGAGAATGAATGGACTGTATTACTAATTAATTAAAGTTAAAAGCCTCAAATATCAACATTGGGGGGGGGAAATACTAGAAATTCATATATATCTAGGAACCAGTGTGGTTCGTCACCAGTTCATTAAGGATGTTAGTAAATTATATTGAATATGGAATGAATTAGGTGATAGTAATTACAGGCGAATGTGCCTCAGAATACTACAATAATATAGAATATTACTAAAATAAAGGGTTAGTTACATTGATCTCATTAGATCATTAAGTATCTATATTGGTTAGTATCTCTCCAATAACAATTAACAGCTTAGCTGTGAAATTAAGTGAGATGAAATCGGTTGCCACACTCCACTGGCGACGTGTTGCGTCGGAAAAATTGTTGCACGTAAAGGTGGGGAAGCCTAGCACCTCGGGTGACGTGGACCCGGGGGCTGAAAGACGATTACAATGTAGAACTCTTCCACGTAACTACCTACAGATACATACGGAATTCTTCCTAAAATACCTATCACTGCAGAATTCTTCCTAAAATATGTCACTGCAGAATTCTTCCTAAAATATGTCACTGCAGAATTCTTCCTAAAATATGTCACTGCAGAATTCTTCCTAAAATATGTCACTGCAGAATTCTTCCTAAAATATGTCACTGCAGAATTCTTCCTAAAATATGTCACTGCAGAATTCTTCTGCAAACATTAATATAATATAATCCTATATAAAGTGCTAGAAATAAATATTGCTAGAAAGGAGACGTACTAGATTTTTGTTGTAATGTCTCAGCCTAACGACAACTACCCTAAAATATAACATGTGATCACAGTGTTACAAGAAAGGTTATTAATAGTTACCAGGCCAAGTGTCCGTTGATGTAGGAACGATTCCAGGTCCCTCGTCTTCAGCTGCCGTGATAAGACATCAATTATGGGCTGTAGAGTTGATTAGTTCCTTGGACACTGCCGTGATGTGCCAAATAACGTGACACCGCTCTCGTGGTTGTAGGAGCGAAATTTAAAGACAATAACACGAGCGAGACGTTGCTCTGTTGCACGTTGGTAACACGCCGCTAATATGGCGTCGTCTACACGCGTGGCGTCTCCGAACTCCCCTCCCGGGCTGCAATGCGCATGCGCAGCCCGCGCAAAGTATTCTCGAGCTTAAAGTATTCTATTTTACTTATAATTAATCAGGGAAGTAAGGACTGGTGACAAGTGCTTATGTCACTAATAAAAGTATTAAGATGCAATATATTTTTGCATAATGCAAGTCAGCTTAAGACTGCATTAAGAAATTTTATATAAATCGTTTTATACTATAATGATCTCCACTGCAGTTATTAATACACCTAAATGAACGAGTTCAGTAAGCAATAATATGCTATGTAAATAATCAACTAAATAAAGGATTATCCTTAGTAAAGGAATGTCATTAACTAAACTGTTTAGATGCAAGTAAATGTTTAGAGATTAATGTTTTAGCCTGTCGTTCCTCACGGCGTCACTCTGACCACAAAGAATTTAGCAAATATATTGCTTCGTAATAGAAACATTAATTGAATTAATTCTACATATTAGTAGTGTTAGTTATTACTATGGTTAATACAATAATGATGCATTATAATACAATAATGATGTATTAGTGTTGGAAACTTTCCAACAGTGGTGACTGCTGTAGTCACACTGGGTGATGGTGACTGCTGTAGTCACACTGGTGATGGTGACTGCTGTAGTCACACTGGGTGATGGTGACTGCTGTAGTCACACTGGGTGATGGTAACTGCTGTAGTCACACTGGGTGATGGTGACTGCTGTAGTCACACTGGTGATGGTGACTGCTGTAGTCACAATGGGTGATGGTGACTGCTGTAGTCACACTGGGTGATGGTGACTGCTGTAGTCACACTGGGTGATGGTGACTGCTGTAGTCACACTGGTGATGGTGACTGCTGTAGTCACACTGGGTGATGGTGACTGCTGTAGTCACACTGGGTGATGGTGACTGTTGTAGTCACACTGGGTGATGGTGACTGCTGTAGTCACACTTGGTGATGGTGACTGTTGTAGTCACACTGGGTGATGGTGACTGTTATAGTGCCCAGGTTGAGTAATAATGTTGGCATTACAGATCAAGCTGGTGAACATCCGGTGTGAGGACATCGTTGATGGGAACCCCAAGTTGACGCTCGGTCTCATATGGACCATCATCCTCCACTTCCAGGTGAGTACTGCTCTCTCCCCCACCTGCACACACACAGGGGCTCCCCACCTGCACACACACAGGGGCTCCCCACCTGCACACACACAGGGGCTCCCCCACCTGCACACACACAGGGGCTCCCCACCTGCACACACACAGGGGCTCCCCACCTGCACACACACAGGGGCTCCCCACACACAGGGGCTCCCCACACACAGGGGCTCCCCACACACAGGGGCTCCCCACAAACAGGGGCTCCCCACCTGCACACACACAGGGGCTCCCCACCTGCACACACACAGGGGCTCCCCACCTGCACACACACAGGGGCTCCCCACCTGCACACACACAGGGGCTCCCCACCTGCACACACACAGGGGCTCCCCACCTGCACACACAGGGGCTCCCCACCTGCACACACACAGGGGCTCCCCACCTGCACACACACAGGGGCTCCCCACCTGCACACACACACAGGGGCTCCCCACCTGCACACACACACAGGGGCTCCCCACCTGCACACACACGGGGGCTCCCCACCTGCACACACACAGGGGCTCCCCACCTGCACACACACGGGGGCTCCCCACCTGCACACACACGGGGGCTCCCCACCTGCACACACACAGGGGCTCCCCACCTGCACACACACAGGGGCTCCCCACCTGCACACACACAGGGGCTCCCCACCTGCACACACACAGGGGCTTCCCACCTGCACACACAGGGGCTCCCCACCTGCACACAGGGAAGGAAAATGACAAATGTCAGTGGGGGTAGGAGAACAATTGGACGGGGTGGATGAGAATGGCAGAAACGTTTATTCAGTGTTTGGGAGGAAGTATGTAAGTGGCATTTATTTCATTGTTGGATTAAAATAGTGTGTAGTGGTGGAGCCCCGTTGAGAGTGGAGGGCGAGTTGCTCCTCCGTGACTACAGCTCCCGGACACGACACCAACCCGTAGTTCTGACAGGTCGCCCTGCTAACTCCAGCGCCGTGTGAGTGAAGATGTTTCCAAGGAAGGAATTGATGGTGCTATTGGTCGTTAATATCCTGGCCAAGGTCGAGGCTGCCGCTTTTTGGTCGGGTGAAGATTCTAAGTCCCGGTGGACATTGATCAAACTGTGCTGGTTTAATGTGTGACGTGGACTTGTACACTACACTCTTGCTGTAACTTATATTGGCCAGGAAGACGGTAGTAAGGATGTGTGGGTGATTGTTGATGGTGCGCGCGTGTCCCGCACAGCTCTGTAAAGCTGGTGATTGTTCAATATTTTATTGCAATCATATATATGGGAACAATAGATGAGGAGGACAGCAGAGGTAAGGACGAGCCTTCTCCACGGCCGCTGCTGCCTAACTACCCAGTGTGACGAGTGTGTCACACTGGTCATCAATGTTGATGACACACGTGTGTCATCAACAAGACTCCACGTGGCCAACCACTAACTTGTACCGCATCAAAGAAGTTCTCAAGAATTTTTTAGATTTAATGTTTCCTCTTGTTTTGTATCACTTGCACATTGTCATTTATACAGCTGTCGGTGACTATACGAAGGATTTCACAGTTTTTATCAAGAGCAAGCTAAGTAAAACTATTATTTTTTTGTATTAACACATTCTGGTAGTTACAAAATATTCCCAGCAGGTGACAGTGTAGGGAAGACACACTTGGAGAACCAGTCGTAAACTAACACACATACAATAAAGATTTGATTGGCTAGGATTACCTTCATTTCTTATGTCCTTCAACTTGGATTGATGGTGATTCTTGCAGTGAGATCTGTGGGTGTGTGATGTGTAAGATCTGTGGGTGTGTGATGTGTGTAAAGCGACCACAAGAATGGTAGCGTAGCACAGATTGAGGCCTCGCTGGACCCTCTTGAAGAGCGCCTTTGTTGTGAATGCTGCGCCACCATCGCGTGTCACGGCTCCAATTGCTCTAAACATAGATTTATACGCCTCTCTGAGTAATGCTAAATAAGCACTCGCTTCAGAGTAATAGAGTTCATGAGTGCCGTGTGCACTCGGGTGGTGGCCCGGCAGGTCAGGTGCATAGTGTATAGCCATGAACACACAAGCGCGCGATACCAACATGGCATGAATTTAGAAGAGACTTGGAATATTGGAACGCCTAGAGTTTATTGTGTTGGTGGGGTTTCTGCCACCTTGTTGCAGGGGTAAGGATTAGGGTGATGGGGAGGGGATGGGGGGGGGGCAAGGTATGGGCTGCTGGGTACGTTAAAGAAAGGGATGGGGTGAAGGTTAGACTAGAGGGCATAGAAAGGCTTTGGGTGGGAAGGAAGGGTACGTCTGTCTTAGAGGGTGAATGAGTCTTTATATGGGGGTTATGAGTGAGCCGGGGATGAAGGGTGGACCTTGGGTGAGAACTGGCCCCGTGAACAATGGGCCGGGCATGAAGGGTGGAGGAGGAGATAAGGGAGATAAGGAGTGTGGTCGGCGGCGGAGGTGTATGGGCGCCACTCTCCTGGAAAGGGAAAGTAATATCCCTCCGGTCGACCGACTCTGGAGACCTTCCAGTCCCTTCCTGGAACTGTGAGTCATCCCTCTGGTATGTGCTTCCCAATATGGCCGGGAGCAGCAGTGCGGGCCGGGGTACCGTGTCAGGTGAACAGGACGCGTCCCGGACTGGGTTGATGGGGTTCTGGGAGTTCTTCTACTCCCCGTTGATAACCCAGTGATAACCCCGTTGGGTTATCACTGGGTTTGAGTGCCTGCAGTGTTGTAGCATCACGCCACGCTCTTCGTACATCAGTAATGCTCATCTGCAAACCTGTACAAATTAGCTTTTATAATTAATGCCATTATGGGAGCTATGCTGTCACACCTAACTTACTGTTTATGCAAATACTGCAATTACAGTGTTACAGCAGGTGGATAGGTTACACTGAGAACTGTACCAGAATGAGTTAACGGCAGCGTTATATTTAATGTAGTAATTATTTCAGACATTATCATGATTATCTTTCACATTTTATTCATCGCATTCTTATGTTTTTTGTGAGTGATGACATTGACGAGAATGTGGGTGGTCTCTGAGATGGGACGAGGGGGGGGTGACTGGGGGGGGGGGCAGGCTCAGTGGGATGGGACGAGGCGGGGGGGGGGGGTGAGTGGAAATACCAAAAGAGCTGGTGAAAGAGCACATGGATGACGTCGGGGAGGTGCGACAGAGAGAGAGGGGGGGAGGGGGAGAGAGTAGGTGTGTGCTTATTCCGGGGCGGGGGGGGGGGGAGAAGGGGGCGACGGTGCTAAAGAAGGGCCCGAGACGAGAAGTGTTGTGATATAAGGCAGTGATAAAGGTGAGGACAGGCAGGGGAGAGTATGAGAAGTTGGGGGGGGGGGCTGTATGAGGGATTAAAGAAGGGGGGGGGGGAAAGACAGACTACCGTGAAGGCGGCGGGCGGCGCCCCTGGTGATGACAGCAGCGTCACCATCTAGGAAATAGATGGTGTGTTAACACTCCCCGAAGTGTTAACGAAGATAATTGTGGGTTAACTAAGTGTGGAGAGAACGGGTTAAGGGCTTAGAAGAGGTGACGAGAGTTGAGTGTGACAGGTATGATAACGCCTCGCACAAGGGCCCTGACAGCCCTGGCATATACTGCTGAAGTCCGCACGTCAGGAAGACCCCAACACTATACGACATGTGTATGGCGCTGAGACTGGCGTGGGGAGGCAGAGTAGAGGTGTCCACGGTAGTGGAGGACAAGCTTTATATTGATAGCTGGCCACTCACCCCCTCCCACCCCCCGAGTGTGACATGCCAGGGTGGTGACATCATCGGGGTATGGGGGTAAGGCACTTGGGTTCTGTGTAAAGTCTACAGTCTTCTCCCATTCCTCTGTTTATCATCTTGATAATAATAATAATTTTATTATTATTATTTCTAGTAGTATGTTGTTGTTATAGATTCAGCTACTCGGAACAAGCTCCAAGCAGCACGGGCTATGGTGAACCCGTTACTAGTAGTAGTTTCTGAAAAGCATATGCCTATATGTGGTGGTAAACTTGTGTGTTGCTTGGTGGTAGTGTGTGTGTACTTGCATATTTGTACTCACTTGTTTGTGCCTGCAGGATCGAGCATTGACTCTTGGATCCCGCCTTTCAAACCATCGGTTGTTTACAACAATGACTCCGGTCCCATTTCCGTATCATACCTAGTTTTAAAATTATGAATAGAATTTGCTTCCACAAATGAATGTGTGTGTGTGTGTGTGTGTGTGTGTGTGTGTGTGTGTGTGTTTAGAGTGGGTGCTGGTTATTTAGGCACATCACACCTTACTTTGATTGCCAATCTTCATAAATAATGAACTAATCAGTGACATAACACTCTCAAGTACAACTTTTTCGGTTCACAACCTCATTGAAGTACAATCAAATTTCAAACGATTTAAGGTGTTTGAAACCCCTATGATGCGAGGGAACATTTAACAAGGCTTGTGACTTTTTCTGGGATTTGGTATTCCGTGAACCAGTCACTCATCCTGTTTATTAAGTGCGGCCTCATATCTGGTGCGAGTGATAACCTTTTTCTTTTATTTGTCTTGTGACCCATACACTGAACCATCGAGTATTACCTGGCAACAGCACACAGCCATCACACTACAATTCACTGCTTACAGACGTTACATGCAGAAGTATATTCCATGTGTATGAAGTATGTCTCGTGTGAGGAAGGTCAGGATGGAGCCGGATAGACTTGCCGAGGCTAGTCCGGCCTCCGGCTGGCCAGTCTTTATAATCTAAGACTATTAGCTGTGCCGTTTTCAGGCCCTGATTTAGTCTCAAGTTCCTGAGAAGTTCATCACAAACAGATCACACTAACGTGATGCATCAAATGAACAAATCCACAAGGGCCGTGACGAGGATCCTCGTCACGGCCCTTGTGGATTTGTTCTTCTGAGAAGTTCATGTTTGTTCACTTTTCTATTATGCAACGTAAACATTGGTATACCTTCTCTCTTAGCTAGTTGTGTTATAGTGACATCAGTCTGGCA